CATTCCTCGCTCACGCACCCTCCCCCTCCTCCTCCCCCCACCCCACAACACCGCAACAGCAGGCGCTCCTCGGCGCTCCCTCTCCATCGCTGCCGCCGTCGCGGCGGCGCCCGAGACGGCGGTGGAAACGAGCACGAAATATCGGAATTTCACCTCACGCTGTGTTTCTACACATAGAAAGAAATAATTAGGGAATTTTGTTTGTCTTCGAGTAATTATAGAGTGACGATCCGGATAGCCGAAATTGTTAGGGCAGTAGTGTTGTGGCGATCTCGGATGGAAGGATTGTGCGTTCGAATCCCGCCTCGGGCGTGTATGCATTTGTGATCGTCACTTTACCCATCATCATCATCACTTCATTACAGAAGAATTAATAATTCCCTGCGGGAATAGGAGGCCCTTGTCTTTAATGGGATGTGCAGTTGGCTATTGTACAGTAGAATATGAAGGGATACCTGAAACATTACAAGATTCAATCGTCCTTTAAACGATTGCCGTGTCGTAAATCCTTATAAGATACTTAGTGAGTGCGCGTTTCCGATTTAAGAAACAAAAAATAATAATCATAAGTTTGATTGTAGGGCTTTGTATATAGAGGAGTTACTCTGAAGGCGACTCCACACATTCGTTATTCGGCGAACAGCAAGCAACCGCTCGCTGTATCCCGAGTAGTGTGCACAAATTCCTCGCTATTCGCCGAGCGAAGAACATTCGGTGCTCGCCCTACCTCCCGCGTGTCGTTCTTTACGGCTCATCAAAAGAAGCTATCATTCGCCGGACATATCTGCTGTTCGGGATTAGGCGAGCAGTAGTTCGCTGCTCCGCGAATGCCGAATGTGTGGAGCCGCCTAAAGAAGGGACCACTTTGACAGGTCGGGAAGCAAATGAACGCCAAGCAGCGCGATGACATTGCAAGAAATAGTAATGAAGCAATTTTCAAATAAGCCAACTGTAAATGAACGCACTGACAAAATGAGTTTATGGACATAACCTGCCGTTTCTAGCAGTGGCAAAGCATTAGTCAGAGTGGTCACTTCTTACAGAAATCTCTATGTATCAGCGTGAATTCAACGAGTGAGGAAGATTGAATAGTTCTTTACCACTTTTTCTTGTCCTGTTACCCATCACCGTAATGTGATCGTGTCCCCATGAAATACAGCAGTGATAAGAAGAGAACTGAACCTAAGAGACCCGTTATAGCATGCAGACGGGCAACTTAGCGACCACAACAACCACGGCTGGGTGCTATCGTCAACAGCTCCATCAAAACGCTATTTGGCGTCTGCCACCGACTCCGATAACGCTAACGACCACCGAACTTGTCGACACTGCGACTCCCGCCAAAGAGCGTCTGGTTCACTCACGAGAAGCTTACCTACCGCGTCTGGCGTCTCACCTGTGATGCTTCACTTGTTAGCGTGCGTCACTGTTGCCAACCGTTTCTTGCTTAGTCGAGCAATTGTGACGCTTGGGATTTTCTGTATTGTATTGTTGAAGACAACCGTCAAGTAATTTGTGGGTCCACTTATTCTAGTGTGTCAGAGATCTTAATTTGAAATAATATAATCAACTGTGAGGCGTACATAATATTATCTGCAAAGACAAATTTCATTTATTCTAAAAGATAAAACATTGTACTTCGAAGATAATTTGATAGTAAGGATTCCTCATGCATTTGGCATCTAAACTTTTGCCAGCTTCACAAACGATGTTTTAATAACTCTTAACTTAAAATATGGGAAGCGGAACAACTATTAAATACTTTTAATTACTGTCCTGATTAATACTTGTAGACGTCACTTCATCATTTTAGCTTCGATTTTGTTTCGCTCGTTTGTTTTCAGTATTCTGATAATGTGGATGCTAAGAAAAACGCTTTCGTGTTGTGCAGCAGCGTGTCTGAATGGTGATTCCCAGTTGTTTTTTGAGTAATTATCACAAGATGCATACAATAGACAAAAACTTGTTTCTGCCACTTGATAAACTTTATCAATACGAAGTGTTTTACTATATTTATTCATTCGTTCACTATTTCGACCTTCGACAAGAATAGTTTCATTAGTTGAAAGTTGCGAAAAACTCAGAATCACCGAGGCCGTTGATGATGCTTAAGCTTGCTGGGTATAAGTATTTAAAGGCTTCTTTCAAATGAACGATCAATAATACTGTCAACATGAATCAAAACCAATAGTACCATTAGTACTAATTATTTCGCATCACATGTAATGTATACACTCAGTCATACACATACAAACAATAATTTCTTACAAATAGCTAGATCTTCGAATAGATAGTCTTTTCAAAATTCTGGTTTTGATATTTCCATTCCAACATTTAAGATTATCCCTACTGCGGCACTCAATGCATCCACAGAGTAAGTTGAGAATCTGTCTTAGTAATTCCCTATGCGCGCGGAAATTAATCTTCGTTTCTCGCTCAGGTAATCTGTGACAGTTGGCCTTTGTCTTCCACTTCATAAAGGTTGGCAAGGGAACCTCAAGTGATGAATGATCGACTGATTCATTGGTAGTGTGATGAGAGCGCCGTGCTACTACCACAAGCCTAAAACAGCCATGCTTTCGCAGGACTCCTACCCCTCGTACACTTCGATTTTGCATACGCGGAACCCCAAGCCGGGTTTTCCTGTAAGATTGCTTGGTTGGTTGGTTGGTTGATGCCTCCAGGCATGTCAACTGCTACGGACATTACGCCCGTTAAAGTTGTGTCAGTTTGGTTTGGGAGGTGGCGGTGTTCCTCACTGACTGGAAGGGGGAAATCTGGCGCCGACCTACTCGTCGGGGATTTCCCCCTCCAGGTATCTCACTCCAGGCGACAAGACAAGCTCGAACTGTATGCTCCCGTCTGTCCTCCCGACATATGTGGTAGTGTAGTACATGTAAGTGGTAATCATACGTTTGAACGTGCGTACAAGGGAAGATTATTGAAGAAGGGAGAAGAAGCAACGTCGCGAATGATTCTTTTCTTAAGGTAATGCTCCGCCATTACGCGTGGTATTTATCGGAGAAATCACGCCCCGAAAATTACCCATCGGAGCAACAAGCCACCAGAATTCTACGCCAGACAGTGGCTGAATTCGACCTAAATGTGTAACTACTGTCGAATATCCGCAACCGTCCGTACTCGAACCCTGGGACCTCTCAGACGGAGTCACTGCTAGGAATGCTGGCTCGGAGTAAAACTCAGCCGTTGCCATTCTGCCAGTCTGCTGCGTATACATCGAAAGTATCACACCAAACGCAACAGCGTAACACTTGCGCGCGGCGATGGTGTAACGGTTAGCGTATTGGACTGTTGTAGCTGGTGGGTTCAAACCCGATCGATGCTGTGGATTTTTAAGGCCTTCCTTCGGAGGGGAAGTAAAGCCGGCTGTCCCATGTCAGTAGATTTACTTGCATGTAAAAGATCCTCAAGCCTAAATGACGCCTCTGAGCTAAATTCAAAATCGCCTGTTTCTCGCCCAAAAAATACCTCCTTTCTCTGCTAGTTGGTGAAAGAAACGTAGCGAAATTTGCGTGGTCAGACGGAAGAGCAGGCATCATCACCACGTACCTCAATACTCCGCTGTTGAGAGTCTGAAGACAATGGACGCATACGTGCGTGAGTGTGCGGTGGCGTAAGGCCTCCCCGCGGGACCTTGCCGCTTGGCCGGGGGCGCTTGCGCTTGCGCACAATGAGTCACAAGAACAAGTGCGAACGGGTGCGCACCGCGGGCGGAGAAAGTGACCCCGAGTGATTCACCGGCGCGGCGCTGGCTCAGGCGGCCTCAGCTCGTTAACGATCAAAGATGTCTCCGGATGATACAATGAAATTTTAGTCATGGAAAAGTCCTTCGGGGCGACTCAGTACTCCAAACAAGCTCACTGCGGCGTGTCGAACGCTTTGAACAGTTTTAAAAGTATTTTCTTATTTAATTATTTTTATTATTTTACTTTTTCCGCATTTTAATCTAATTAAAAACTCGTCAGTGAGACAGTCAGTGTTGACTAACTGACTGACAGCTGCTTTTTAACTTCACTCGCAGACCTCATAGAGGATGACTTACAGATTGCCCACATCCATTTCGGTAATTGAATCCAGTACTTGAAGCTCCTCGTAGAGGTTTCCGCTATATCCGCGTGCGCTTCGTAGTCAAGTTATTAACAGATTACGAATATTATTATTTACTTTTTGTTTATATAAATAATCTTAAATCCAGATGTATTGTATCAAAAACTATTATTTATTCTCCTCGTTTGAATCTATAATAAGAGCAGCTCAAATTTCTGATTCGGATGATTTTTTAATTTTAAAAAAAAAAAATTATCGCCGAAAATGATGTCAGTTGAGAAGTGATCCATGGATTTCCCTTTCGAAATCATAAGGGAATCATGTACTCACAATCTTGTGAGTATAGCTGCTTTTTCACTCCATGTATTTTGTGTTTTACATTTCGTACCTTGCACATACACCTTGCACACTTCAAGTAGAAACTTCTTCTTCCAACTGAAAGTACACTCTTTGATGCTTACCGTTAGCGACAAATATATGATTTGTATCTTATCTCATGTAATAATTTTCGATATTTGTGTAAAAAAATATAGGAAGTCGCTCTTTAGATACGTAAAACTTTTTAGATTTTTTTATTAACACACATTTTCTCTTTATTCTTAATACTACACTCAGTAAGTGGTATGTATGTTTTTTTACTGCAAGAGATTGATTTTATTATACGTGAATGTAAGAATTGTACCTGTTGTTCATATTTAGAAAGTAGTCATGAGCCAGTATGAATTTTTACGGTTGGCCAGATAGTTCAGGGCTACATTGTTTAGAATTCGATACCGATTTTAATTATATGAGTAGCTAGATATTACTGATATCATCGTGTAAGGAAAGCGTCGTTCAGAGTAGCAATTCTATTCTACGTTCCGAGATGCTCAAGTTACTTTGCTTATCACTTTTGAGTAAATCTGCACCAACTTTCTATGTCTTATTTGCAAAGTTCCATTTTTTCCACAAATAACTGTCTTTGTTGATTTTTAATTCGAAGAAAAGGAGATTGTAAAATTATCAAGACAGGACATTAATCCAAGAGCTAAAAGTGGTAGTGAATGCGGTGAACGATAACTCGCGAACCACATCTTTTGACGTGTCTGATATCTAAAGCGGCGGTGTATACAACGTCATTCACCAACTTTAGTAGCAGCCCATTCTGAAGCGCAATGCAGCGGGCTATCTCCCCGGTGCGGAACAAGCTGGCAACGGAATGATTGCGGTCTACGTTGGTCACGGTTAGCGATAGCACGCCTTGAATCGCCGACAAGGAGAACTAAAGTGTAAGAAGCAATCCACTTTGGCCAGATAACTCAACGAGGAAGCGCAATTGATTTGACAGATTCACGTGTGTTATTTCTAGACCGCAAAAGGTCGATGTATGAAAACGCGATCACTACTTGAAAAGAACATGATTTAGGTATTTCGAAAATAAAAGGTTCAGTGACATGTTAATTTGATAACTCTCACAACTAATTTGTTTATTTTTCACGAAAAGCATAGGATCCTAGTACATCTTGTAACATGGTATGGCAAAGGAAGAACGTGGGACACAAAACAAAATTGTTTCCTCTCCGGCAGAGTTAACTTTTACGATGTTTTGCGCGAAAGATTGTTAAATTATTTTTATAACAAGTTCAAATATTTATGGCTTGTGCAAAGTTTTTCAAGCTTGGTCTCAACATTAAAAACTATCAGTCAGAGAGACAATTTTCGAAAGCGACAACTTTGCACGTGTAAAAAATCTACTTGTATTTTTCTACAGCGGTTCAATTCAATATAGAGCAACAATACTTATGATGAGCAATTATGAAAGACTTACGATAAAACATTAATTGATTATTTTTATTTTATATCTACAAGTCCACAACCATACCCCGAAAACCTGTACGAGTCTCGTTAATTAGGTTCGCTTTATTAATCTACTTAAACAAGAAAATTACAGTCGGAAAAAATGGACAATGGTTTGTGCTCAACGTGTTCATTGATCTAGAAACGTTCGGAAGATGTGACAAGTTTCGAGAACCTGCGTCCACAACCCGTCAGGTAAAAGTGTCACAAACGAAGGCTGACTCTCATTATGCAACATTTTCGTGATTCTCCACAAACCGAAGACTTGTGCGCGAAACCCTGTTCCGGGTACGATCCGCTACAATCGTGGACAAGACACGCTCTCGTCCGACAAAAGCGACACTCGCCAGTTGAATGAAAAGCCGCGGAGAAGACGGGAGGAGGAACAGTCAGACAACCTCAGAGCTCAAACGTCGAGCCATGGATCGAGCTGAACTAAAAGACTGAACGCTTTCGAAGTATGACTAACAACAACGAACCCACAAACGAATGGGCAACACTCCGTCTTTTTTACGCGAAAACTATATTCTATTTAATTTTCAGCTTTGGTCAGTTTAGTCTGAACAAAATTTAGTTTCTTGATATCTGAAAATTATTACAGATTTCTTTTGCTGGACATTTTAATTTTTTTTAAAAAAAATATCGACCTCACAACATCGATGTTAAAAAACATCGGCTTCAAAAACTCGATGTTAAATAAATCGATATTTTATTAACATCGAAGTGTCATCCCGAATTCTCACACGCGCGTTGAAGGCGTGGCGCCGTGCATCGGAGGCCCGGCCTGGGCGCGCCGCGACCGGCAGTTGTCACCGCTTCCGCGCGCGCGCTCGCGCTGGCGCGGCGCACCCTCGGCCCGCGGATATCCGCCGCGCAAACGCCGCACCACGCCGCCCAGCTGGATTAATATTGTACGGCGCCCTAAGAATGGTCAAACTATGGATACGGGCGTGGTTTCCCTAATTAATACTGAAATATGGAACATGTCATTACTAATCACTCGTAAATTTGTTCAAAGAATTGGTTGCCCCGGCCGGGATTCAAATCTGGGCCTTCTGGTTTACGTTCAGCTGCTCTATCCATCGGTGACGGGAAAATACACACACACACACACACACAGCACACCAACACACACACACACACACACACCCACACACATATTAATACATAATATATATATATAATATATATATATATATATTATGTAGTAATTTTATGTAATATATATATGTATATATATATGTATAATATATTGTATATTATATGTATATATATATATGTTGATAGTATTATGTATATATATATGTATATATAGTATGTATATATATTATATGTATATATATATATATGTATATTATTATATATGTATAATATATATTATATGTATATATATATTATGTATATATATATATGTATATATATATACTATGTATATTATATGTATATATATAGTACTATATATATTATATTATATATAATGAGAGAGAGAGAGAGAGAGAGAGAGAGAGAGAGAGAGATAACGTCGGTGACACAGCATAAAAGCATAAAATTTTCCTGAAGGCAGGGTGAATTAATACAATTAAACAAACTAAGAACGTGCATACGGACGTTCACGCGGGTACCTATTATATTTTTTTCTCGTAGTTAGGTCAAGGAAGAGAAACAAAAGATCTCGCAAGGCCGTGGTCCGTTTGTTAAGATACTAATCTCGCACGTGCCTGCAAACACGCAAAACTACGGAGCACCTGGAGTCAAGAATTCTCCCCCAGACAATGTTTGAATCCAGTATGTAACTAGCGTAGAAAATCCACCACGGTCAGGACAGACTCGAACCCTGTAACCTCTTGGTCAAAGACGCTTTATTGGCTCCAGTTACCTCCTTCAACCAACTCAGCCGGTGGACTGAATTACCTCCCCCCCGACCCACTCACGCCGCATTGCGGGAAAGTTGCAGGTCTCGTCAAAACAATCTCACCTAACCGAGTGAGTCACGGGCATTAAATACGCCAGCGGCGTCGCGTCTCCTTGTTAATGACTTCCGGCGGGGAGGGGAGGGGAGGGTTGGGGGAGCGGGGACGCGGGTGAGAATCCAAGAAGGGTGGGTGGCGGGTGCGGGCGCGGGCGCGGCGCGCGGCGTTGCGCAGAAAATAAGCCGCTGAATGGAGGCGCCGGTGCGCGCGGCCGCGCGCCGATAAACCCGAGAGCGTGGAGAGAGCGTCTGCTGAGGTCGCGAATACGGCGGGGCGGCGGCGCCCGCCCACGCGGCGGCGGCGGCGGAGAGCGGCTCTCAATGGGATGCGGCTGGCGAGGCAGTAGCGCCGCCGGACGGGCTCGCGTCAGCACGCCGGCGCCTCTGCCCGGCGCGGCGTTTTCATTAACGCTGCCACCACTGCGCCAAGGACTAGACTCCCTCTCAAGAAAATACGTAGGACGAAACGGCAAAAGCCGTGGGTTGCATAAATATCTAATGAAAGCGAGAAAAAATATGTACTAATGTGTAAAAAAAAGAAAGAATGTAATACGTAAAATAACGCTCTTGATTTTCTATTTCCCATTTTAGAAAGAAAATAAATCATTTAATGGATTGATTAGTGATTCCGGTCGCGCCAATGGCTAAGGTTGCATTAGTCCCGTAAGTGTAGTGTGTGTTTCACGGGGAACGTCCCCCGCTGGATGGTGAGATCCAGCGCCGTCCTACCGTCGGCTAGCGGGGTTTCCCCTTCCCAGGTATTTCCACCAGCGGGACACCGCTCCAGCCGCGACAAGCTCGAAGTGTCCGACCGGACTCCTGGAACGGGCGGTAGTGTAGTGCATTGTGTGTACAGTAAAGGGTAAGGGTAGCACAATGAATGGGAAGGAAATGTCGCTCGTGGTGTGTAGTCCCGTTTGTTAGGATTCTGCTTCGGCATTCGCGTGGTTGTAAGGAGAAACCTCTGAAAACTACCGATAGGAGATGCCAGTCTCTAGAATACTTCTCCAGACGGCGACTGAATTCTAGCCGGTAACGAAAATCATACCTCACCGTCGGGACTCGAACCTAGGACCCCTGATCAGAGGCACTGTAGTGACATGAGTTGATGAAATCATTTAATAAACTACCTTTATCGATGTCTTGAAATTGAATTGAATAATGCTTATTTACGCGCCGAGACTCGTGCTGACCACGCAAATTTCGCTACGCTCCTTTCACCAACCTAGGCAGAGGAAGGAGGTATTTCTTGGTCGAAAAACAGGCGATTTGAATTTAGCTCAGAGGCGTCATTTAGGCTTGAGGATCTTTTACATGCAAGTAAATCTACTGACATGGGAAGCCGGCGTTACTTCCCCTCCGAAGGAAGGCGTACGAAGGATTTTTTCGCTCTTAAAAATGTCTTGAATCCATGGACATCGATGTCACATCCCTGGGGCGGGGCGCAGGGGCCGTCAGCGCGCAGGCCACGAGGGCAGTCAGCGGGCGCGGGGTTGGCTCGGAATGTCACGCGCCGAGCGGCGGGGGGCGCGGGGGCAGGTGCCGAGCGGGCGCGGCGGACTTCCGGTGTCCCTTACCCCGAGGTCGCTCGCTCGCAGATCGCGCCGCCGCCTCCCTCCTGCCGCGCCTCCGGCGCCGACCGCCCCCCGCCCGACCGCCCTTCGTCGGCCGTACGCTGCTCCTGCCCGACCGCTCTCCTGCGACCCGCTTCTCCTGCCCGACCGCTCTCCTGCCCGACGCTCTCCTGCCCGACCGCTCCTGCCCCTGCCCGACCCGCCCTCCTGCCC